AATTAACAGTTCATTAAAGCGTGTTTACTTTTTGGTGGATCTGTGCAGTCTCCACCTTAAAATTCTAATGCCATGGAGGACTTTTGAGGTCGGATTTATCAAGTTGCGGCCTTTCAGCAGTTGTTGCGACATGGCGAAATTGTGAGATTCAGTGGCACTTGCCTTAGGCTAAATGTCTTCCCTTGTAGAAGCGCTCTGGGTCCTCGAAGTGTGGGATGTAGATGCAATGTGAGAAGAAACGCAATCAGCGAGTGAGTTTGCTTTGGAGGAGTCATTTCTTCTCATAAAATATCCTCCTCATATAAGGAAGAAGACATTATGATTTTATCTTGTGTGTTGCATAGTTTTTATTTGTCGAATATATGTTTTTTGATTGAAACGCGAAAAGTTCCGTGAACAAAGTCCTCTTTGTCGCTACAAGGTGGCTAAAGAAGTTGTCCACGTCTTCAAGAAGTCTCGAAGGACCTATCAAAGGCATGGCATTGATGGAGTGCCTGCATGGGAAGAGAAACGAGACAAGAACGTGATCCTAACTATCGCCTCAAAGGGCCGCCCTTCAAGCCGTCGGCCTTCCAATTCAGGCTGAACGTAAAACCATTGTAGCGGAAGTCTTTGCTACATGAGAGCGGGTGGTTGTTGCAGGGTATCACCCAAAACTGCTTTGTGGCAACAAGTACAATCACGCTTTAACCATAAATACTTGAACATAAGACTTGACAAGACATGTTGACTCAAACTTGTCTCAAAGGGAAGTCTCTAAAGCCATTGGGGCAACGGGTACCAACTTCGTGCCATTCATTAGCCGATGCAAAGATCACCCATGTGCTCCCTCCTTCCTGTCTACGGAACATGAAAGCGTTGCGTACAATTTCTAGTGTTTGTCAAGTGATCGGCATGTTGGAAGAAATACCACTTAGGCTGCGGTGTAGCGACTACCCACAGACTCACAGGCAGGGATCCACTTTTAAAGGCACAATGAAATGTGTCCGCTTTTTGGGTATAAGCAGAAGATTCAATTTGTTACGTGGTGAAGACCAAGTCGGTGTGAGCATGAGCCATGAAATTCAAAAAGGGCTGTGAAAATCACATCAAGAAAATAAAGTAAAAGGAGAACAATAAACTTCGCACCGCTTAATCGCTGACGTGCTCATGTGGAAGGCAGGAAGACGTCTTCTCCTTCTAACACCACAAATTAGGGAGGCGAGATGAAGGTGTCAAAGGATGGAGGCTGTTCTATTGCCTGCCCATCCGGGACAGAGTATTTCACGATAATTTATATTAACAATCTTTCCCCAAATATTAAAGTCTTCAGCTTTAGCATCGGTTAACTTTGTTCATCGTCGTATGGCCGTTTGCTCCTGGCTTGGAATCACGGACTCACCAGAATCGCGCACACCGGAGGCGGCAATATCCCTGGCCTGTTGGTGCGTCGCGCCTTGCACAACACTTCCCCCTGATTGTGGGACATTGGGTTGAAGAGGCGCCAGGAACTCAAGCTAAGGTCAGAAACTTTGTTTAGATTGCTTCACAGCCTCGATAATTCTTTTTCCCAAATCTGTAACACCCACGCAGTGCCACACAATTTTGAAGATTTTACGAAAAGGACAGTCGGGACTTGTACATTAAATGAATAAAAAATGGCGTTTGCCTAGAACCATGTAAGATTTTGTGCTAACTTGCCATCTCGTTCCACTCCCTGCGATATGCGATCTTTTGTCGTGTTGAGAGAAAGTAAAGGGTGGGAAGTGTTTAAAAAGGTTTTGAGGTGAAAACGGTCCTCTTAGGAAATTAGCGGGACCTGATGATTTTGATCACCTTTAAAGTGATTTGCTTACAAAAAGCAACCGAATTTATTTAATTACATCCGCAATTGTTGCCCATAAATCTCGCTTTTCTTCAAACTGACATCATTTTGAGGTAATTGCTTTGTCTCGATAGTAAATTTGGCAGTTATGTCTTACGTCCACTACTTCAGTCCAACGGGTTTGGCTTAGAGGTTGACAGCTTGGACAAATGTTGATTGGAAAAGTGTGCCATCGAGGAGTGAAGGCAGGTGGGAATGAAGCAGTACATCACATTCACTTCAACTTGCATGCCCATTCTAAAGAGTTTTTATTCTTCGACCGGTTATTTGGGCATTTTTTTAATGCGGTGACAGTGTCTCATGTGGTTCTCCGTCGGAATGAGCTCAGTGTGATTGAATAAAAATTAAGCACACTTCATTTGCTCCAAAATGCCTCGAAGGCCAAAAGTCAGCGCGTTGATGATAAACTCTTTTTCATATGGGCAAAATATTGCATGGAATTCAAGGGTAACCATTCGGTTTTGAATGCCACATTTGAACGAAATGAGGAATTGAAGGTCTTTGGATGCCCACCATTAAGAATGGCACAACTGTGCCATTCTTAATGTAGAAATACGAATAGCATTTTCCAAATATTTGCAATGGTACAGACAATGAACTGGGAGTCCAACACTCGCCTAGTCTTGCCACCTTTGAAGAAACAAAAGACGGTCGACGTAGTCTTCGCCCAACCTACGTAACTTGTTGTCCCCAAAGCGCAGGTCGTGGCTATCGGGAAGGCAACCCCGATGAACTTCAAAGTCGCTGTTCAAAACGCTCAGTCAGATTGCCTTTCACCAAGCCTTCATCATTTCGTTGCCAATGTGCTCTTGTTCCGCCAAGGGCAATCCCATCGGCAGTTCAGTTTTGTGTGAGTAAACTTGGCAGTGTCCTTATGACAAGGCACATCCTATCAGTGGCTGTAAAATGGTTAAGAAATGCGCTTTACTAATGCCACACTGGCGTAGCTGTCTAACAACTCGCTTAGAGTAACTTTCATGCACACACCACCACCTCGAAATAAATTAAGAAAAGGAACTCGCAGATGCCGTGCCAATGAGTTCCATGCAGTCACATTTACAAGAAGAGTTGGCAGCTCGTTCGCCTCGTCTCACATCGCAAGGCTTAAAAGACAACCGAAGTACGATGGCTGGTGCGATGACTGAGCGACCTCAGTTGGACATGTTGGCAACATCTACACTTTCCACTTGCCACATCACTAAAGGCTAAATTTTCTCATTATCGCAAAGTGTTGGGCTTGAGATTGGCCTGTGTAGTCAGTCGTATTGCCCTCAACAATCCTCGCTATCATCTTCAAATCACGTCTCGATTCGACTCAAAATCTTCTTACAGCCACCGTCATCACCGTCACCCTCAACACCGCCAACAACAACAACAACTCTTTTTGAGCACAGTCTGACTCCGAGGAAGTCGGATAGCAGCAATATATGCACCTCAACTCATTTGCCCCTTTTACGATCGTATAGTTCCGTTTTCGCTTATTTAAGAATATAAAGTGATGGGAACACAAAAGCAAGATGTTGTACTGCTGTGGAAGGAAAACCGACCGGTGGAAAGAAGTCTAACAGGAAGGACAATTCACTTCTTTCTAATCAGTAATGGCGAACTCACTATAATCTTGTCCTTATATGTGGAACACTGATTTTGGCAATGGATCCCTAAATAAAGCAGCACAAAAAGAAAAACCCGATTGTCAAGATGAGGTGTGGACCCTTTTAGATTTCCATTGAAACACTCCTTGGCACACCAGGTCGTAAGCAGCCTCAATCTCCAACGCTCGCTATTGACAACGAGGCGAGTCAAAATTTCCGAATGGAAGCTTTGAAAAGAGTCCAATGGAGCACCGCTCATCTCTCAAAGTTGCCTATCACTCCCATCTAGTAGCAAGAGCAACGACTTGGGATTATCATAATGAAGGCCACTCAGGTAATACATTCTCTGTCTGATATGTACAACCAAAATAGGCGTCCCGTTCGTCTAGGCATGAGTGAATGAGTAAGAGACGAATGTCCTGCCAGTAACGCAGATGCTCTCAGTTCTGCCTGGAATGCCCCACTTTAATTCAACCACTACTGAGTGCCCCACCTCAGATATAGTTTAGCCGCATCTGGAATGCGATGGTTGATAAAAATACTGCCCACTATCCTCACCCAACTCCACCACCACCACAAAAAAGGTGGCTTCGTACAGGCAGGATAGACGCTTACCTCGAAGAAAAAAATCAGCACAGCAAAGCAAACACTCTCCTGGACCAAATTATGAAACCCTAATGGCAGATGAAAAAGACCCTCAAAATTATTCACCCTACACAAACAGCCCATTATGCACTGACTAAAAACTCTGAAATGAGCATTTACAGGAGTATTTTGAAAGCTAAATCTCTACACCTAAAACATTTCATGAAAACTTATTCCATGTTATGCAGAAAAACTGCTGTTTGGTTGGGAGAAAAGTATCCGTAGCCAAATGCCACCCATTTGTGTGTATGCGTGGAGAGGGGCCATTTCACTCCGAGATCGCCTCCAACCACGGGATGGGCATTTGGCTGAAATGGGTGGTGAAGTCGAAGGGGCGGAGGCAAAGCGGCACTGCCCAAGTCAACGGAGGAATGCACTTCACATCATTCATGCTGGCCTTGCCGTTGGTGTGCGCAATTAGAACGTCTAACGGTGGAGGCAATACCGCACTCCCTCAAGCCAAATCAGCCCAGCCTATTTCTCATCCCTGGATAGGGAAGGGAAAAATGATGAGGCACTCTCATCACTGCCCTCTGGACATTTTCAAGGACACCTCATCACCACCACGGTAGCACGAATGGGCGGCAGCAGTTGATACACTTCGTGCTGTCCTCATGCCAACACGCCAAACGAGTTGACGAATGCACTCTGTGAATGAATGCGTGCACGTGACTAGTGTGACTGACGAAGGGGCGAATGACAAGTTCAAAGTGGGTTGATAGGGAGTGGCCATAGGAGTAAACTGTGGAAGGCAAATCGAAGTTGTTCCTTGTAGGCACTTGGGTGTGAGGAAGAGGAGGCACGTTGTGTGCGCGTCCACTACGACTTTGTGGACTGAAGGTGATGCAGCCAATTGCTTCGGTATGGTCAACTTCGAGAGGTGTGCCTACAGTGGTTGAATGAGAGCTGAACTCCAACAGTCACGCGCGGCGTCAACAAGGCATGACAAATGTGTTCAGTCACCGCAGACGTGCCTGCTGTTGCGGGCAGGTTATGCACCTCGTTCAGTGGTGGCAGACAGGTCGGAATTTGGCAATGATAGCAACAGCAGGACTGTGGCTACTGTCGCGGCACATTCAGTTGTGTGCTACGACAGTGGTGGGATTACAGGCCGTAGTTGTGCGAATAAATCACACGAAACACACTCCTGTCTGGCTGACACTTCAGTGGGTCCAACGATTCCACCACGCATCCTAAAGCTTGAACGCTCAGTCATCACTGTTCAAGTGACAGTTTTGCTGGTCGTTGTGGAGGCGTGGAGATGGGACTGATGAGCGAGGCTGGGGCATCACACAGAA